ATCAAGAGGTTCTCCCCGGCCGGGAATTGAACCTGGGTCTCGCATGTCACAGACGCTGATACTAACCACTATACTACCGAGGATTGGAATATAATATGTCTTGTCAAGCATGTATCATTGCATACGCGGTCTAAGAGAGAAAACGTGGAAGGATTGCTACTCATCTTTCATTTCGAGTGTTTTCTTATGACCACAGCTCAAATTTCAATATGCCTGATAGTCATTATTTGAGCCACGCATGTCAGTGGTCTGTCAATGAGGGCTGACTTATAGAGCCCGATACACGTGTTTCGATCTTGCGATCTCGTCAGTCGGGCAGTTGCCCTTTCTCGTCTTTTGCTAATCTCTGTGGGTGCTCCAGTCCCCACAATAAGAGTTAGCGACGACGTACGTTTAACACTCTATGTCCAGTGAAGAACTCACCAAACACACTCGAATGTACACTGTTGTACACTCGAATGCTCGTGGCTAGTATATTTAATATAACATATCTTTCATTTCGAGTGTTTTCTTAAGACCACAGCTCAAATTTCAATATGTTACTTACGTTTAGTGAACGTGGCAAACAACATGAAAGAGGAACTAAATAGAAGAAGGAGATCGTCGTGAGCCGCCATCGGGCTTCTCGTGGAAGCCAGCAACCAGATAGCGGTCCCTAGATTCCGTGCTCACCTCTTTCATTCTATAGTCCTCCTAAAGCTCTGTTATGTAGCAGAGACGTGAGCTAATACAACATCTACGTCAAGAAGTCTGCGTACCACTCACAGGGCGTTTGAGCGAATTCTTCTGAAAGTCGATCGCCACTCACAACGCCTGACCGCTTTTCGCAGCTCCTATCCTCGAAAACTATTTTATCTCAGCGATCCAGAAATGTACACATCGATAGCGAAACACAGATTGACCGGCTACGTGATAAGAAGAGCAGAAGAAAGATGGACGAAAAGAACAGTGGAGTGGACTCTAAGAGGATGCAAGCGTCCTCTAGGGAGACCACCCAAACAGTAGGCAGATTTGTTTGCTGCTAACGTCGACTATCTGCGTCTGCAGATGGCAACGAGTTTGGATTTATGGAATGGGCTGCGTGCACGTCACCATGCTCGAAACAGACCACCATCATGGACGACAGCTGCGCTAGAGGGAAACAAAGGGAAAATGATGGGGCTCGCACTACCAGTGAAGACATGTCTCCAAGTATTCAAATATAGACAAACAATGGGCCTTCCATCCTCTCTGTTGACCAGTTCACTTCCGCTGATCCACGCTGGGCGTGTCCACCAGTTCCACTCGACTCCACCTCCTCTGCCCAATTAGTCGCCGAGTACATTACTATTTGTCGTTACAATACCAGCAGCTAAGTTTTAGACTAACTCGGTCGTGCGGTCTCGCGAAAACCAACCGTTTAAAAAGCATCAGCAATGACACATGTGTGGCTAAGGACGCTCTGTTATCAGATCCTCGGTAGTGTAATGGTTAGTTTAAAAGATCGACTGTTTTTGAAACCCCCAAAAAAACATTCAATATAATTCCAAAAAAAGAATGATTTAAGCTCAAAATGTCAAGGTATACTTACGAGGTGATTTCCGTATTCAGGGAACCATCCAGTTCAATCTCTTCACCTCTGCATCACGGAATCTTAAGTAAATGAATCTTCAACCTGCTCATGTAAACTCCAGTGTGTTTTCCCATCTATTCGATTCAATACGTATCGTTATATAAAACGTTTATTCTTGATTTTTCATTTTTTATGTAACAAAAAGATACCTCTGATGTATAAAATTTATCTATAATTATCAGTCAACCACCTATGATGTCCAAGAGGCGGGCAACATTTCAGGCATAAAATTTAATTTTCTTTCCGCTCATACTGCACTGTATGATAAACTTCAAGACAACCTAATTACATTATCTAAATTCTTGAGATTAGGGCTTTCTAAGGTCTAGTAAGGCTTTATGAAAAAGCCATATCGAAGTTCTAGCTGAGCAAATGAATTAAATTGAGTGTGAAACATATATATTGCCAAGCAATCGTTTTTTTACCACGTATGTAATCTGTTACAGAAGGGCTGACTTATAGAGCCCGATACACATGTTTCAACCTTGACGGTCTCATTAGTCGGGCTGCACTGTTCTCGTCTTTAGCCGATCCTCTTGGAACGCTCACACCCTATACAAAGAGTAGGTGAGGACGAACATTTCACACTGTAACTCTAGAGGAATTATCACTGAACAAACAGTGTTGTAAATTCGATTGCTCTTGGCTGGTATCGTGATTATATCTCTATATGGCTTAAACTCAATATATGGCTCAAAAAAATGATTATCTATCGTATTGAAGTTTGAGCGTGGTCTCAAGAAAGCACTCGAAACGAAAGATGAGACATAAGGTTGATCTAGCTACTACAACGTAATAAAAAGTTTTTTCTTCAAATTAAACATATCGCCGAAGCCGTGGAGATTTGAGCCTTCGAATGACTGCCACTTGTGATGAGAAGGCTTTATTCAGCGAGAGAGAGGCCTCCAAACATTCGTATACATTATTGGTATAGGTGGTCTTTAGCGTGAATAAGCATGGATAACTCCGATGAATATCATGGGAGTATTATAGTATCTTATATAGGACTTTCCCACTGAACGCCTAGATATAGATACAGATATTCGTATATAGATATTCGCCTTTATTTTCACTCTGCTACAAGCCTTCGCCATGACCAACTACACAGTCCAAACTCGTGTTGTGACTACGCCAGGCCGCACACTGAAAAAAAGAGCGAAGGCAAGTTTGATGGATTGGGGAAGCCGAGGTTTAGCCGCTTCCTGCCTACAGCCCACATTGCTTTCCATCCGACTTTGACCTTTTCCGATCAATCTAGCACCTTTTGAAGGGCCGTCAGTTTGCATCGTTCGATTATGTTGGAGAAGCATGTCAAGAGTTCCTCAATTCGAAGTCGAAGAAAAGGTCGGCTATGACCAGATTCGAAGCTTGGCGGACCGAAGGCAGAAAGTCCTAGAAAACGATGGCCTTTATTTTAAAGATTAGTTATCATTGTTTTTGATTGAATTTCATGCATAAGTCTCAACTTTTTGAACAAGTGCCCCAAAACTTCCTTTCCAAGCTCAAAATTATCTCGTATTCCTTATTCAAATTTTACGACATGCCTTGTTAAGTAATCAAATATGTTATCACGCACTTTTGAAACCACATTTTACAACATAAATCTCTCCTCAGTTTTATCATCTCATTCATTCACAGCTCAAACGCCATCAATGATCAGAAATTGCAAAATAATGAATGGTTTTGAAGAAGTGATACTGCATTGTTTGCTATGTCACTTCATCCATAGCTTTGAATAATGTTTCGCCTATAAGTGTATTGCACTAATGGGGGTCTCTATAGAAATACAGAACAAACTTTGTTTCCTCCTTTTATGGGTATTTAGTCCCTAATGTCCAGTTATACTCTACTATGAACACTATTCATTGTTACAACCACTTTCGCAAGATAGGCGACAAGAACACGCATTATAAGTTGGGAATGTATTCTCTTTCCGAAATTGTCGTTTTCTTAGTGAAAACTGATAAGCGATACTCTTAGCTAATTTTCATTAATATCCCCTTTCTTTTTGACAACAAACTGCCTCTTATCATCTAAACTTCACTAGACAATTGTTAACAAAATTCTCTATGATATTCAATTGACCGGCTCTCAAAGTGAGTGTATTGTTCCAGTCGCTTCTACAGCACACTCAGTCTTCTCAAAAGCCAAGCTTAGTGCTTAATTACTCCATTTCTCAAAGCAATCGAAAGCCTTTGATAGTGTGCTGGTTAAGAAAGAAGTATCACTGTACTAGAGGCAAAAATATACACTTTTTTCAATGAAGTACTTCTCTAATTCAAGTATGCAAACTCTATGAAGGCCTACTCCAAGAACATTCTGAAAACTCCTCATGTATGATTTTTTTCTGAAAGTTGTACATTGCAGAAGAGGTGCTTCTGATTAACAGATTTACAACTTTGTCGAAATAAATGACAAAGAAGAGTTAGGAATGCGTTCTTATCCCGTCGATGTGGCTTTTGTACTGAGAAAGAGGAAACTTTTAATTAACATGTTGTAGCTTCTCGTTCCGTTGAAAAGGAAGTCTCTCCAATAGCAATCTATCCTTTTGTCGATAAATTTTGCTCAGAATCAAAATTTTTCTGTATCATTGTACCACCTATCGTCCCATTGATCGTCGAGTAACTCGAGCGGCTACCACAGCAACACTTCCATTTTTCCCTATCGCGTGCAAAAGTGGCCCAGCGGGTTCTCGTCACTCTAGCGATTCGCTGAGCATTATATCTTTCTTCTGTACCTTTCTTGAAGAAATCGGACCAACGGGTCGGTGGTCTTCCTATAGAGTGCTTGATGTCCCGAGGAATCCAGCCGGTAACGGCTCTCGTTCATCAGTTGTCGTTGAAGCGCATCACGTTTCCGGCCCACCATATTTTTGATATCCTGGCGTGGAAAACGGCGTCTTTGATCCTCGATCGCTGACGTAGGTCGCAACTTCGGATCGTTTCTCTCATTTGCGAGATACGGGATACTCATAGCATCGACCTTTCGACTGCGCGTTCAATAACGTCAAGTGAACTTCCATTCTGCTTACGTAGTGACCAGATTTCTGCTGCATACGTTAGGGCACGGATAAGCGTCGAGTTGAAAAAGTGGGCACAGAGCCGGATAATTTTTGTTCTCTTCACTACATCTTCGATGCTCTTAAACGTTCCCCTAGCCGCTCGTTTCCTCCTGCTCAACTCCGGAGCAAGGTCGTTTATCATTTTGATTTCAGGGCTGAGACGTAACTGGAGCAATTGGAGATTTTGGCTTCGTTGAGCGTGAATGGGGCATTCAAAACCCATCCGCTCCTCATGAACATCGTTTTCGTCAGATTTAGTTAAAAACCAATCTTTCCACGGGCACTGAAATCGGTCAACATTCGTTCCGCTTGGCTGATGCTTGGTGAGGACGATAATATCAGCAAAGCGAAGATGGTTTAATTGCCGATCGTCAATTTTCACTTCGATATCTTCCCTTTCTAATGCTTGC